ATAATTATTTAATAACTTATTTAAGTACCATTGAGATTTGTCCATTTTGTTTCTTTTTTTTCAGCTAGTTTATTAAATTCTTCATAAAATTTGAATTCAACATTGATGGAATCTATTTCGTCTGTCAGGACATTGTGGCAATCATTGTTGACAACTACCTCAACAACCTATAAATATGAATATAATAAAGTACATAAAATTAATATTGAATGTTTTGTTTTCTCATTTAGTATTTAAAAAGGGGTTTGCATATGGAAGTGGCATTTTTTTTATATGATACGTAATGCGGGCTCACCTGATGAAACAGCATTCCCATGATTCTTTAAAAAAGTTGCAGGGTGTCCACAACCACAAACTCAAAAGGAATGTTAAGTAGTGGGGGCATTACACAGCCCTCTAATTTTGGGAGAGGTGAGATTTTGACCAGCAAAAAACATTGTTTTCTCAAATATCCCTGAGTAGGTTTAGTAAAGATGAACAATTTTTACAGTACTTGTTGGCCCATGTTAACGCAAATGTAACCCTTTCAGTTTTGATTTAAAATGGCAAGTTTAGCATGAAAAATTATGAAGAAAGGAGCTTCGGTGTTTTTCTGCCCTTTTATGCTGCGGAATACCAGTTTAAAAAAAAGTCACAGTTATTTTAAGACTTCACACACTGCCCAAAAAGGATGTTCGGAGCTTTTCATCTAATATGTACATGTAATATATCATTTTTCATTTTATTATAGTTTTATGAAAAACGAAACAGTGTAGACATTAAGATCTATGCACTTACCATTGTACAATGCCAGGGTATACTGGTATTCATACGTTGCTTTGTTCTCACACAAGATGTTAAAAACTGCCATCACGGTGCCGATTCTTTTGCTGGTTCACCTCCCATCCGATCCGTCTCACGTAAAGTCGATCCGTCTCACCGAAAGTCGATTCGCAAATGAAGACAATTCATACTTAAGCGTTAAATTCAATGTTGACGAAAAGAAACGATTCGCACTGGTCGACTCGAATCGTCATTGGTAAAGTCGATCAGTCTCACCGGAAGTCGATTTGCAAAAGATTTGTCATGTGATTACCTCGTTTCTAAGTGTTTGTGATGAAAACGACAACTTTGGAGACGTGCGACCTAAGGCAACATGGCTGGCTTTTACGAAGATCGTGTTTGTTTATTTCGTCTTTCACAGTCCTTCATTTTGTAGGAAAGAGCTTTTTAAACTTATTTGGTTTTACATTGGTTGCTAAGAAGTATGTCTGTGGAAATAAAGAGGAATTTGTTGGTGGGGAGCAGAATAGGCTGGATGGCGACGACGCTTTTGTCCGTGAAACAGAGAGTTTATTAAATTTATTTTCCCGAGCTTGGCGATGTTGAGGTTCGTCTCGCGGAATATTTTCAAGTGTCTTGAAAGTCGACTTCAGGTATGACGGGTCGACATCAACTGTGACGCAGTTAATTTAGTGTTAACAATGAGTTGAAAACGTAAATTGGCCACCTCAAAGGGTAAAAAAGCTGATGTTTCGAGCGTTAGCCCTTCGTCAGAGCGATTGGAGAAATTGTGGGTTGTGTGTAGGTTTATATGCAAGAAGTGGAGCTGCGCTATTGGTCACCATACTCCCATCGATAATCAGCTTTTCCACTCTTTACGGCGGCCAATTTACGTTTTCAACTAAGTTGTTCGCACTAAATTACCTGCTATACACTCCCACCGACATAGCACCACAGTTTCTTTAGAAACTAACCCCCTTAAATCAACTGTGGCGAGTCGCTCGATTCGAGTTGAATCAAGTCGATTCGACAATATCTGCAATCTCCTTTCGTGGCCTCTTACGGAAAATTTTCGCAGTGCCTTGCAAATCGACTTCCGGTATGACATGTCGACATCAACAGTGACGAGTCGTTCGATTCGAGTCGACAACACTTTCAGCGACTCTTGGAAGTTACTTGCAGAATATTTTCTAAGTGTCTTGCAAGTGACGGGTCAACTTTAACTGAGACGAGTCGCTCGACTCGAGTGGAATCGAGTCGATTCGACAACATTTTAAACGACCTCTGACAGTTACTTGAGGAATATTCTCTAAGTGTCTTGCAAATCAACTTCTAGTATGGCGGGTCGACTTTATATGAGACGAGTCGTTCGATTCGACAACATTTTCAACGACCCTTGATAGTTACTTGCGAAATGCCTTCCAAGTGTCTTGCAAATTGACTTCTGGTATGCGTTTCCATCGAATGAGAGATGGATTATTAGATTTCCGGTATAACGAACCGCATTAACCGCGAATCGACTTCCGGTAGAACGATTTGCAAACTGCCTTTGACGAATCGTAACGGTTTGGGTGTATTTGACACTTAAAATCTCAAAGGAGGGTCTCAATGGGGTCATTGCTTTTACGGCTAACGGTTAAAATGTTGGCTAATATATTGTTACCGGTTGATATCTTTTCATTGTGGTCACTGGAAAATTTTTGCGGTCAATCTTTTTAATAACCAACTTTTAAAATTTGTAAATCAACCAGCTTTATTTTTTGACAGTTTAACGGCTAACGGTTAAACTCTCTAAGACCCTCAAAGCTGGTCAAAAATTCCTCATGATGAAATTTAATTGAGTTAATTGTGTGAGAAGGGCAAAATTTCTGTATAACCCTATAATAAATTTTAATCAGACACAGGAATAACAGTGATGGTAAAGCAAGCTTAAAACAGCAGAAATTGCCGGAAACTACAACGGATACACAGGATGCGATTAAGTGTTATTGATTTTACGTGTAAAATATTCACTATATTTATATTTCGAAATATTTATCGTTGTAAATCGTTCCCCATACTATTCGTTATAACGTGTTCAAATTTTCAACGGTTCCTCTTTGTAACTTAACACCGAGTCACACAACGCGTGACGCGTTCATGAATTAATCGTTGGCTTTTTCTCGAGACGTGAGATTGGGGGGCCTGTGGTTTAATGAATTCCTCTGCGAATATCTTTGAATTACGTGCTAGTATGTTTTGTTTTCTGATTTGTTTTTATTTTAAAACATTCGTTTGATTTCATAGCACTGCTAAGTAATGCGATATATATGATATCGGGTTCCCAAAATTTGGATTAAGGTGGCAGAGTGTAAGATGCAGTTTACAGTTCCTGAGCCTTAATAAAATAGTCTTTTCCGACCACGAATACGGCTTTGATTGGAAGGAAGATCTTCCAAGTAGTTCATATTACAAACTTAACACAGGAATCGATTTATCAAAATTTGGGTTAACTGGGTCTCATGTTTCCATTGAATATGCAAATCCAAACTGGGATTTAGAAAGGAATTCTGCAAGTATTTGAGAAATATAAATTTTTCTAGTTCACTCCCTGAATTTGGTATTACCTTTAAGAGCGAAGACACTAGCAATTGGGCTCTCACGTTATATTTAAGCTCTAAATCCGTTGACGACAAACAATAGAGTGGTAAAGTGCTGACGTCACGGTTCCATGGTAACCATTTTCTTGGTTCTAAACGAAGCAATCTTTCAGTAAAATCATTCTCATACCTATTTAAACCCCTGCCACCCGATTATTACCCGACACAAATGCAGGCTAGAATTTTAATACTGAGTGAGCTTAACTCATGCGCAGTAGAGAATTTGTAATATCTATGAAAACATCGATAACTAACCTTGTCAGAAGTTATCTAGTTCCTTCTTTAATCCCAGGATTTTCTTGATTTTGAGTTGTGGTCATCTTACGTTAGACTCCGTCCTTCAGAGAGAAAAAGGGAAAGTTTTTAAGTACATTTGTAGCTATATCTGGAAAGAACGTTCTTGTCTTGAATGATTAAAATCAATGTCAGGAACGAAAAATTAAACTTAGTTTGAGTCACCCTTAATTGAAATAAAACAACAAGATATATAATTTCTCGGACTTTGTAGAAGTACTATTACGATAAAACGGGGATCGCCGAGTCCATTTGGCGGTTGACCGAAGCCTCCCGTATCGATGAAAAGAGGTACTAAATCGTAAAATTTTCATGATCACTTTATCTTTATTTGGCCAGGCTACGGGCATAAATAACTTTATACCATGAAAAGCGATCAACACACAAACAATAATAACGTGAAAATTTCTCGCTGTCACTTTGAGAGACCGCAGAGGTCACGTGGTTTAAGAGGAGCAGCTTTGATTTATCTTGCACAACATAAACATACTTTTCCTTTTCCATTTGACTCAGTCACTTGAGTTTTCGAACGTGAAACGAAGCATAAAAAACAAACGCTATATTCCAATCAAAAATTTATTTAAATATGTAGAACATTTACCTTGAGAAAATTTCGTGACAAAACGGTATCCATTAAACTTTAGTTTCGAATTTAAACCACTCGATTAAACGTCCTTAAAAAAAAATACAGCCGGTCTTGACAGAGCTAACCATTTCCAATGAAATAACGTTCAAATGCCGTGATTTGTGGCCCTAAAGACGCTGCAAAAGGCACAGAAATTTCTTGTCGTTTGGAAGCTCTTTCCACGTGCAATGGTGGTCGCAAATACATGAATATTAATTTAGCCAAAAACATATTTGTAATTCAAATTTCGTTCTCAAGCTTGCAATGGCGGGACCTGCGAGCTTTTCGGTCACTTAAGTTCAGTTGTTACTCGAAATGGGACGCTTTTGTAATGGCTGGTTTTACATATAATTTTATCTCGATAAAAGAGTGAAAATATAGCTGTAATAGTGTAAAAAATCTTGACTTAAACTCAGGGCTGAGTTTTCCAAAGTGCGATTAAGCTAACCAAGGGTTTTCGAAAAATTTTTCATTTAGTTTTGTAGCTTTTTAGACCATTTTTTATTGTTTATATTTTTGCCTTCTGTTACGTCTTAACTAAAGTAAAAACCCTCAGAACGTAAGCCCTGATATACGCTTTATTTCAAGGAAAATTGAAGGGCTAGTTGAACTTTTTATCCTGAATTATCGTTTATCATCCTGGAAAAAAGCAGGCCCAGATTAACTCCAACTCTCAAACATTAAGAGCTATTCCCCACTGAACACAGTTTGTCCGCCTTTTTGTTTTTAACTATAGTGAGAAGCATGCGGGCTCATCAGTTCTCCGGCCCCTAACTCCGCCCAAGGAATTCTGGGAAATATTTTGAGCTGCATTCATAAAGGACATTAACATTTTTTTTTTCGAACGTAATTTGATATCATACACAACAAGTGTTTTGAATCTAAAAATTGGAGTAGTCTTATTCCTAATTCAAGAACTCAATATTTCATCGCAAAAATTCGAGATGTGTCTTTTTTTTCCATGTAAACAACTCGGATTTTCTGTGGAAAATTTGCAAGTTGCGCTGTTGGTTATAAACAACCTATATTGCAACCACAAAAAATAAAAATAATAATAGGAAAATCCGAGTTTTCTAGTGTTGAAATATAGTGTTCGGTAATCGAATTTTTACCGCAAAAATCTAGTGTCTTAGTTTTTCTCATAAAAAATTCGAATTCTTACCGCAGAAATTTCATTTTTTTTCCTGAATGAAAATCCGTGTTCTGCATGTAATTAGAGTTTCAATCGATCGGAAACGAGAAAACATTGCTGATGTGCTATATGGGCCACGGTAGAGTTGAAAATTGACAGGTATCACGTTCCTCAAAATTTTAACCTTTCAAAATTCCTTATATCGAGCTGCACTTACCAAGCAGTACTCAAATTACGTTGACAAAGTGGCCACTTTATGGTAAAAATGCACAACCCTACGAAAGGCGGGCCGGTTGGGGGGAAGGGATGCAGTGAGTGCAGACCCTCTACGATACCCGAAACATGTCACTGAGGGGCTTGTAAAATGCTGTTGTAGAAAGCCCATCCCCTCCCCCTCTTTGCTGGAAATTCCCACCCATGCCTGTGTTAATGTTTACGTCATTTGTGAGCAATCTAGAATAAGACACTGGCCTGGAGGAAATTGAGCAGGAAATCGATAGAATCTCACTATTACCTCGGAGGTTCGAAGTTTCGGGGGAAAATTGCTTTCACATTTTTTAGCAGATCTTTGTCAAGTGGTTTTATCGTTATATTTACAAAGATATTTCATCACTGCGAAGTAAATTGATGGACGACATGTGTTCGACACGCTTAAGGGCGTAAAAATCGAGTCTCTGACAGTGACGGGGCCGGAAAAATCCCTGAGAAACAGCACAGGAAAAAAAACAATTTGGACGGAATGGAGTGATTATTAACAGCTAACAATGCTAGTAATTAAATCATACAGTCGGGGATATTGTTAAGGCACCGATGCGCGTTAGAATGATATCTGCCTCTGTTAAATCTTTACTCCCGGGGTGTTTTGATATATTTTGACATTCTTGTAGAGGTGAAGAAAGGAACAGCATCTTAAGACTCGCTGGTAAGTTTACGTAGTTAAAAAACTTAATCTGAACAAACCAAACCAATTTTTTAAAATGTTCTGTTTAAGCATGAATCGAATCATTTCATGTTGAATTTACAGGCGAACAAATTGCTAAATTTCTTCTGCATGAATCATTATGATTGCTTTACTGCCAAAACTGGAACCGTACTTTTCGAAGCACGTTAGACTGAAAAGATAGTTGCTGGACACAATATGAATTACTTCAGTAATTACCTCAAAGCAACTGAGCATCATTTTCATGGAAATTAGCAATTCATTGTGAAAAGTGAATATTGGAAATTTTTTCAATTATTACTTAATTTTTGGCATCAGACTAATGGAGTATCGATAACTGCATGCACTTTTGGTAGCTGATAGCAATTTTGGTGATCAATTTTCCACTCTGGTTACTAGAAGTTCTTTCTAAATGATAAGTATAGGCGTTTTCCCTCATAATTTTTATCTTTTACCTTTTAAATCTCTCAGCGAAAATACTCGACAAACACTAAGATAAATATAGCGTTCCTTTCTCTAACTTCTAACTTTGTGCTAGAGTCTGTCGTCGTAAGTTGGAGTACAACATGTTAATCTTCTATGGTTGATTTAACCGAACAAAACTGGGAACCTAAATGAATTCTCCCTAAGCAGCCTAGATACCCTAAATTCCGCAAAAGTAATAGGGTATTTTACATTTTTTTTTAGCATGTATCGATCGTCCAGCTTGATCAGAACGTTTGGCGTCAATTCGTTTTTTTTTCTTCACCTCTTGTTGACAAATTTTCGAGGCCATTAATTCTAGCCACAAAAATCCTTTCTATTCTTCTAATATCGATTCGTTTGTGATCGAATTTCATTTAAACTACCGGGCTATCACAAGCTATACCAAATTAAAACTGCAACGGATAGATTTCACCCTACTTGCGTTTCTAACAATGACGAAATTCGTTATCTTTTCTTTACCCTAAATACTCAATTGTAAGAAATACGTCTTACAGGGAAATGGAGCAACGGCTGCCAAATATCAAACAATTATCTATAACTGAAATTTCTAAAGAAATTACGAGCTCTTAGAATATTTTAGTAGAACATTTAAGCGATGGTTTCATTCCATCTCGCTAAAATTAAACAGGAATTATTTGTCATTTCAAGCTGATGAAAAAAAAAATGATTGGTCTCTTTAGCGTACCGTTTCTTCTAAATGGTTTGCTTTTACAATACCGTTTGAACTAACAGCTGTATAATTAAATCTAATTTTTATTGTAGTTTCATATCGTTAAGTGCCATCATATGTTTCTTAAGAATGGTCGAATGAGTTTTTGTTTGACTATTAAGCCGTTACCTTGGAGAGCTTCCCAAAATAATAACATACGCCTGTAAACCTTAAGCCAATATTCCAACCACAGGATATCCTAACAAAGTTTTGTTGATTAGATCATAGCAGCCGTGTTGCGCATACATGTGCCTACCCTGAGCCAATGATATACATGTTAAGACTACCGGTAATACCGATAAGTTAAATAAATCACAGATATAATTTCCTAACTAAACCAGGAGTTTAAGATAAATACGGCTAGTAAGATAAATAAATGAGATGCCCAAGGACAAATGAGGTGTAAAGCGTTTTGAAAGATTGAAAACGGTACTTGCAGGAAATTTTACAAGGTCTTGACAAGTACAGTCGTAGACGGCTAAATGTTACAGGTTGATAAGTCCTACCATTTAAGGACATACGTTCAGAGTTTGGAAAGAAATGCTTTAGTTTCACTTGTTGCTTTTTTTATATTTAAAGCTGTTTTTTTTGTATTATTATACTATGGTCTTGAAGGCACCTGAAAATTCTAAACAGTGGGGTGTGTTTTTTTCTGTGACCATGTGTTTTATTACAAATTAAAAAGTCCACACGAGAAAGTTTTACGTTTGGGAAGGTATCCTTCACGAACTTATAAACGTGTCAGTGATTAAAAAGAAGTGCAGAACGGGGAAAGAATCTGACAGTTGTTCAGTGTCCGGCGTCCCCAGCAGCAAGGGACATTTGCCAAATGAAAGCTAAACAAGATAAACTTGCCAAAGAGTAAATGAGAATTGATCAGTTAATCAACTACTTGAGCATGTTGTTCTACACTTTATGAGCCAGGTGTCTCTGTATTTGTTGTTTGCAAACATGGCACACGTAACTTGATGATTTTTTTTATTTAATTGTTTGACCTAGGCCTTCTACGTGACTCGTCGTCAAAATGAAGAACATGAATCACTTCCTGTCGATATTGCTCATGGTTACGACAATTTTCCTCAGCAAGACATCCGTTGAAGGTACGTACGTGACATAATTTATCAAGAATCCTATGTAATACTACCCACTTGATCGAGCTAGAATGAAAATTGAACCGGAAAAATTAATTGAAGTAGGGAGCAGACATTATTTATCGCCGGGGGGAGAGGATGTCATATGTGAACTTCGTGATGGGCCTTGCTCGCCATAGAGTCTCTGTGGCTCAGTGTTAGAACATCGGAGCGCGGAATCCGAAGGTCTGGGGTTCGATTCCTCATGGAGACTCGGAGTTTTTTTCTTTGGCCCATGCTCGTGATAAGACGAAAAACATCTTTCTCTATTTCTTTGCCAAGCTAAAAACTTGCCAAGAACCATGAATTTTCGATATGACTGTGGAGGTGGCCATGAAACAGCTATGAATTTGAAACCAGAAAACCTGCTCTTTGAATGAAATGGTGTCTCCCTTTTTTGTAGGCTGTGGGGGAATGTTGAATGGCACTTCGGGAACATTTCGAAGTCCTGGATATCTCACTCAACTGAAATACGACGACAACCTGGACTGCTCATGGACTTTGCTGATTCCTTCTGATGGATATTTAACTCTTATTTTCGTAGAGTTCGAAACGGAGGAGTGGTGAGTAAAGATTTACCAACAATCAACTTGTAATCTACCATCGCCTTTAGTCAATTGCGTTCACCCTTTATTATGCGCGCCGACTGTGACGTTCCTTTTCCTTTAGTTAGTTTTGACTAAAACAAATTGTTTTCTCCCTCACTCGTCTTTCATTTGGAATGTTTTTGCCGATGAATGCGTTTCATCATGACTGACACACATGGGCATCGTCCAAAATACTAGTAGTATTTTGCCCCATTGAGACCTTGTGCGCATGCTCCATCACTCACGGCACGGCATATGTAGAGCTTCTGAATGGAATATACCATGACGCTTTGGGTAAAGAATTCTTGACTTCTTTAAAAGTACAACTAATGTTAAAATAAAAGCTGACCGAATAGTTTTGAAAAGCATGCAATTTTCAACTAACGAAAAATTTTTTCGTTTGGTTCTGATGACGTCACACAAAGGAGTCGCCGAAGCCTCGATCACTCTCTCAAAAAGCAACCGAGGTTTACAAAAACCTTCAGGTGGGAGATTAAGTGGATAACCGACAGACTGTTATGTATAAATTTTCGTCAGTATAGTCATACATTCATTGCCTGCCGCTAAATAGCTTTTAAAGCAAAAAATAGGTCAAATGTAGAAGTATATATCCTTATATCCTTGTACATTTTCTTAAATTTCTTGCAGTTGCGATTTCGTTACGTTGACTGATAGTGTTGGTAAGACCATAGCAACTTTAAGCGGCGATAAGCAAAATTACGAAGTGGCGGTAAATGGAAGTACAACTCAGTTGGTAAAAGTAACCTTTACTTCCGACTCGTCTGTCAGACGGAGAGGATTTCTGGCTCAGTATCTCATAGAACTACGTGAGTGTCTTTTGAGCGATAAGCTAATTGACAAATAGATTCCATGTTGCCGTGGGTTTGTAAAGTGATAGAACAAAGATGGCGTCAAAATGTGGTAAGAAAGAAAAGTGGTACACGATGCGAGATGAGTGTGTCTTCTGTGATCTATTACTGTACTGACCCACGGCATCATGCATTGAATCTATATATTTTATATGATAAAATGCAAGAGGTTATTACTGTTGACGTCATCTATGCGTCTGTCCTCCAATAGATCATGAGAAAGGGACGAACTATCATATTTCTGGAAGGGGGTTTGAGAAATTTTGAAAAAGATTGTTTGCAGGGACTGAAAGACAAAATAAATTGTTTGCAAACGTGATGGGGTAAAAAATATGTTAGCAGTGAAGTCAGGTAAGATATTAAAAAATCCCCAAAACTGAAATAAAAAAAGAGTAACCAACTGAAGCACTTAATTTAGTATAAATTAACATAATTTGGGCACTAAAGAGTGGTCACTCTGTATTAGGCAAATAACAAATCTTAAAATAGCTGAATATTTCTTGAAAAATGGGAATTGTAGCAATTAAAAAATGGAAAAAAAATTTTTGCAGAAGATGCTGTTGGAAAAAAAATGTTTGCGGAGACGTATATGTTTAAAAGATATATTTGCAAATAATGGTCCGTCCCTAAGAACCGGCCAAAAGCATGTAGAACTCAGCTCATCATGTAGATGCCATCACTCAATTATGGAATTACAATGAAGCATTGTTAAGTGTCTGAGACAAGTTTCTCCAAGAAAGTATCAGAATTTTTAGGTATGACATTATTGGTATAAAACCCCAAAAGAAAATTTGTCTAAACTGTCACTTACCAGCCCAAGTTTTGAAGAACTTAACAAGTTTGAAGAATAACAGTCTACTGCATTTTGCTTGATTCTTGTCTATGATCTAGATGTGGATGGTGTCTTCTTTAACAATTCTGTTTCTTTGCTTTTCATTGCTGACGGATATAAAACATACAGATTTTATGTCGCCGAGAAACGGACAAATGGATGAGAAATGAGATAAAAAAGTGTTAAGAACATAATTCACACACTTATCTACCGTTCGCTGAATAAAAATAAGTATCTAGTAAGCTGCAGTTAGTGTATTCAGACCATGAAGGAAAAATGTCAATCTGACTATTTTTCTCATCAAAAGCTAATTTACTTTGCAGCTCCATCAAGTTCGTCCGTTATGAGTTCCAGTCCGATGGTTACTTCCTCCACACCGGTCACAGAAATGCCATCATTGAGTTCTCCAGCTCATTCAGTTATGAGCCATCTTTTTATCTCGTCTTCGACAGCCTCATTAATACCAGCAATGAGTTCACCAATAACTTCTGAAAACCAATCTTCGTCATTCACAGGGATACTAACATCACCTACTTCCTCTCAAAACCAATCCATGTCAGCAACAGAACAACCAACATTGAGTTCAGCTGCACCTTCAATACTAAGTTCTCCTCCGACACTGAGTTCACTTGTGCCATCAGTTTCCAGTTCCTCTCACTTAATGTCGACTCTAGTTACAGAATTACCAATATTAAGTTCTGCTCCTTTCACCACCTTAACAGTGGAACCATCCAGTGTCACATTTACTCCTGTGACGTCATCTTCAACAACTCCAGAACTGACTTTACCACCTGAGGTTCAGACGTAAGTGTAAATGGGCATGATCAACTAAAACTGAAACTGTAGATTGGATTTCGATTGACTGTTGCAAAACTTTTGTCAGAATAATTTCAACGATGAGGGTTCAAAGTCTGAACAAGCAAATTGTCTGAGGCGCATGAAAACACGAGTGACCAAGTCAAAATTGGTTTAAGTTAGTGTCTGATTGGCTGAGAGAATGCATGGCGCTCGTTTTCTACACCAATCGCAGAAATATGGTAAAGTAAAACCAATGCGATCCCGAATGACGTCCGAAACTCATCTGAAAATGCTTCTTAGATAACCAATGAAACAATCAAGACTAGCATTAGATTTAGTAGCTGCTGTTTATTGATTAACTGTTTGGCTTAATGGGAAAACAATTAAGCAAGAATGGATAGATAGATGGATAGATGGGTAGATTGATTTATTGATTGACTGGTTGACTGTTAAATGTCCAGTTGACAGAGTGAAAAACAAATAAATGATGATATTAATTCGTGGGGTGATAAAGCAATTTATTTATCATCATCACATTCTAACATTCAAATTGTAACATAGACAGCATGAATCAAAGGAATCTTGAGCTTTTTTCAACGTTACCTAGCCATTCCATATTTCTTTACATTCCCTCGCTACAAATCAAGAGGTTGATTTATGCGTTATTTACCTTTGCAGAGTGCTTGTTAATTTGCTCTCGTCTGTGAGTCAAATAATTTTGAGGGTAGGTATTATTACCATCTCTAACTCCATGGTTATTTTGCAAGCTTTTCCAATAATTAGATCGTTCTTTTATCAATAGTTACTATTACAGGCGTCGACATTTGCTTATTTTTTCTTCAGCTTCAAACGCTTCTTCAAGGACCAATTTCTCCCGAAGACTTTGCAAACTTTCGAAGTAAGTGAATACAAGAACACAACGATTAACATTAAAGTTGTTAATGATAAAATAAAACGGAGATTAACATTAGCAATTAATTTGGGAAGTACATGGCTTTGAAGAGATTATCTCAAATCTCTATCTTGATAAGAATAAATCCATGCTTCAAATCGACGCCAGAAAAAAAAATACCTTAGGAAATATAAAAACAGGGAAATTAAAAAGACATGATTCGTAGAGGGCCTTCCGATTAAGTGTGGTAAAATCAAAATAAAAGTAATTGGAAAGGTCAGTCACAGCAAAGGAGAACATCTCTGGAAGCCAACAAAAACTAAGTTACTGAAATGTGAGAAAACGTTAGAGACCCAGTTGCGACTGGTTCTAGTTTCGCAATTGATTGGTTGAAATTAGGGCATTAGGTTTCTAGGCCATCAATTGCGAGGTGAAGCGAACCTGACGCAATACGCGCAACTGCAAATTGTCCTCTGAAAAAAGAAAAAAGAAAACAGACTACAGTGACAAATACATATTTAATTTCTCCTTTTTTTCCTTTTTCAGACGAAACGATAGACATTTTGAAGCAAATTGAGAACTCATTAGCCGGCCCAACAACATCCCCGGCTAATAACAGGCAGATGGCCAAGCGAGACATACGGGAATTTCCAGATACACGAGAACTGCTGGAACTACTGAACAAAATTCACCAAAAATTGTTGGCTTGAAGTTGCACCTCTCTGAATAACTTTGCAAGCCTTAAATATAGCTGGTTTTCTATCGACTATGAGACGATGGAACACTCATTTTGAAGTCACTCATAGTGGAACTTTTTATCGAACAGTGGAAGATTCACTGTGTTCTTTTGACTCATTTAATGAACCATTGTAAGTTTTCATGTGTCGACTCTTAACTTGTTGATTTTCCTTGATAAATTTGCGGAAACCGAGTTCCAGTTTAACTGAGAACTTTCCTGAATGTAACATATATTGTGCTCAGTTTATTCGGTTGAGCCGAAGCTTTTTCATATGGAACCAAGAAAAAAATATAATTGTAAAAGCCATATTGAGAATGATTATATTGATGAAGTGCAGTTGGGATAATAGGCTCCGAATCATTCCTGCTAGGTGGCCATTGAAATTGGTATCCAAACTATACTTTCTAATTTAAGGCGATATATGATTTTAAAAAGATTTCATTTGTAGAAGAATTGTAAGTTCGGTCATACTTATAATACAAAATAACATGTGAGGGAGGCCTTACCAAAACTACAAACACAATAAGACTGATAAAAAGAGGGGGCATTTTGAAATTGTTATGTAATGAGGTTTTGTTTCGTCATTGAGTTGATATGCGCATATGCAACTAGAAGGTAGAAATAAACGAAGTTGTGTTTCGCTTTTCGTGCAATTGTCATTATTACTCGGATACAACAGAAATGACAAGAATTGAAAAATGAAAAGGAATACTTGATTGAAAGAGAGTTGAAAGATGTCATGAATGGTTGAGGGTTTTCAAGAGCCTTCTCGATCAAACTCAGTGATGCATAATTTGTAAAATAATCCTATTCAGCGCAAATTATTTTAAGTTTTTTAGGCGCGATAGAACATAGAGAGTTGGGCCAAAAACGTTCCGGACAAGTTAGTGTAGAAGGCAAGTATGAGGAGAGCTGCGCGGGATACAGTTCGCTCGAAAAAAGGCAGAATAAAAGAAAACGACGCCTTAAAGACATGCTAGTGGTGCCTCAATTCTTAATTCGTCAGCTACGTGCCGTCGTTCGGAAACGAAGTGCACGTTTGTTAAAATGATATAAACCATCACTTAATAATCACAAGTGAACACAAATATTTCATAATCGTGTTATCCGATGAATGATATCAGCTGGAACTATTCACGGAAATAGATTAAGTATATTAGGAACTGTTATCGCGGTTTCAATAAAGGAACAGAGTTCCACACTTTCATTTTTTATACTTGCTACATAACTTTAATTTTGAATCAAGAACAATAATTCGGTACCTGCAGCATCAAATTTTTCGAATCCGAATTTCCATGAAGTGCCCTTCGCATTTGATTTTTGTTGAATTTTGGATAAGATATTTTGTTTTAACAAAACTATATATTATAGCCCTTACATTAGTCTTTTGATTTGTACCGTTAAACTCGGAAATGATTCACGAGTGCTACTGGCTTTCAAGCACCATTTTAAAAAAGGCTTTGGCTACAACTTTTCACTGGAGTATGTTTTCTTCCTCGGAGTTTAAAGATGTAGTTATCATCTGAAATGTCTAGATTCAAATTAATGTTTTATCCCATCGTGACAGGGAAAATAATAGAATATTAACATCACTGCTTCAACGAATACAATCATTTACAATCTCTATGATCAATAACGCTTAACTCTACGTGCTAACCATGCAATTTTCCGGGATAAAAAAGTCAGTCTGCTGCCTCGTACTTCATTTTGCGTGTCTCCTTTTTCATCTGATATTGTTAAACAACTTTTTCCTCCACAAATATAACACGAGGAGTAAATTGTACCGCAAGCTTCTAATATTTTCGTTTAATCCCTAACAGTTAACCAAAGGTCTTCCTATTTCCATTAAACGTCCGTCCGGTTTTGGCTGCAGATGCGTAGTTAAACTATTACAGTGGCAATCACGCGTAGTTAACAATTATTCACCGAAGTGAAGTTCGATATAAGCCAATTTTATAAACACTAGAGCGAGAAAATGTTTGAGTAAATACCACGCAGGACCAAAAATCAATTTATTTTTGTCAATATACCGAAAATGATCAGAAGTAAAATTCTTCACGCGTAATTTCGTCTCTTCGGTTGCTCAGGGTTATATTACTTGCCAATCACTTCTAAATTACGCAGGTGCGTGGGAGAAGCACAATGTACCTGTGTGGTATATACTCATATGAGTAAATATCAGTACTGAAGTCGATAAAAAATAACGTCTGTTGAGTCATAAAGTTCTGACAATAAATTTGGCAAAAACGTATGCAAATAACTTTTCCTGTCTTTACGCACATGAATTTGAGTGAAGAAAAAACTGTAGAAATTAACATCGGGAGAAATGTCAATAATTGGACCATTCAGCGACAATGATTGAGGACTGACAGAAGCCTTAAGGATGCGTTTGGGAACTAATTAGAATTGAGTTGCGACCATTTTAGCTCAATAGCTCGATTTCGTACAATTTTTATTTCAGGGAGAGCTTTCTTTAGCAAAGCTCTTCACTATAAAATCGGTTTTACTTACTTCAGCTACTCAGTAAAGGAGAATTTCCTCAACACGTCGAAATGAACCCAAATTGCCACGTACAACTTTAGGAGATTCTTCTTAAGCCTTTCCTCCGGTTCTACATCTGTCTCGTAAGGATTATTCCGTTTATTGGGATATTTTATTGTGCCTTGTGTTACAGTTCTCAGAGAAACGATGAAAAAGAGAAAAAAGTTTAAAGCATTCACGACTGCAGTGAATATCCTACACTTAAAGGAGTCATTTGCCCAACTTTTTTTCATTAACCATTTAAATCCCAAAAAATTAGTATTTATACTCTCCAAACTGATCTCTCTACATTTCTTCCGGTGCTGAGAAGGAGAATTTGTTTTACAATCAGGAGCTTCTTAAATTGGTGATCATTTTTATTCTTTTTCATGACTTTTACATTTGATTTAAGGGTGGAGCTGTAGAAAGAAGTTAGAAATTTGTCACTCTTAGGAGTTAAAGGATTAAGGAAAGGCAGAAGTCCCAACAAAGAAGGATTGCTCTGCAGCTCTGTCCCCTTGGAAGTACAATTACCCAAAGCATCGTGTGATGCACAAAACCTTCCACAGTGACGAGGAAATCTATCATTATGTTCCTTTGATCAATATTTGCGATAGTCTCTTACAGCGACACTGGACGAATGTAATCTTTCGATTTACACCTAAATTTGATTGCACTGCTTTGTTGGGATTAAAGTACTGAAATCTCAATATAAAAAATTAAGCAATTAATCAGCCAAAAGGGTCTCAGAAGAATGCAGTGTCATTTCCGCTACATTATTGCATTATATTAGGTATACATCAGATCTTTCCACGAATTTCTCGTGAGAATCTCTCTTTTCAGTCATGGCAGAACTACGCTGTAGAATAATTTTTTGCTTGAATTTTTTGCCTGAACTTCAACATGGCTCATTATTTACTTCGTGCGGCACCATGAATAATTTTTGTTATCTTTTTTTCAAGAGCTTGGATAACATTTGTCAAGTTCAACCGAATCCGCCCAATATTAACTTCCTCGTTCGAGTTTACCTACGGTTGCCACGATTTAATGGCCGCGTACCACGTCATGCCTGTAACATTTCTATATAAAGAGATCCCTGGAGTGTAAAGGGCTGTAACTAACTTCTGTGACAAACCATTTTGTTCAAATACCTTGTTGCAAATAATCTGACGGTGTTGCTACTTTGAAGACCAAGAAGAACGATGAAATTCGTTGCCATTATCTTCGTGCTGGCTTTGTTTGTTGGAGGCAACGAGGCTTGGTTAAGGCGAAGAAGAAGGCGCACTCCTACCCCTTGCAGACCTCGTAATTGTCAACTCAGCGCCTGGTCGCAGTGGAGTTCGTGTCCGTGCGGAGCAAGTGGAACTCGAAATAGAACAAGAAGAATCATATGGCCAGCAACTTGTGGAGGTACATGCTTTTTCCATCGATCAGAAATGCAATTTTGCAAGAGAGACTGTCAGAATTCGGGAATACCTACGAGAAACGGTTGCCTCTGCCCGCATGGTTTTCTGGGAGCGTGCTGCGAAATTGGTAAGTTGAATTTTAAAAAAAAATTGTAAATTATTTACCCAAGGAGGATCTAATTCTTGAACATTGTGATATTATGCACGAAAGCAGTTGTTAAATATTGTTAACGGTCGAGGTTGAATTGACTGGAGTCTCCAAAACTTGAGTGGGAGTTAACTCTGATGATGACTTCCGCATAGGTTGTTAACACATCTGTCCCTTCCATAGAAAACAATCATCTGGACAGTCGGACCACACAATCAATTTAAATCACTCTAAGCTAACAAAAATTGAGCAAAACCACCGCCACTCCTCATCGTATGAGACACAAATAGGAGATTTTTCAAGATTATATGGTGCTTTTAAAATGCAAATGTTAGCGCACATAAATCAACCCTTCGGTCTTTCGCGCAAAAACTTGGAGGGAAATTGCTTCTAACAACACATCGGGGCTATTGATACCCTAAAAAATATTCCCAATTTCATCACTTTCACAATTTTTTTCATTTACCACTCTTGACCAGGCGGCATAAAAGAATTTTGCAATACTGACCCAATTTTCCCCTCATGAAATATCAGTGTATTCTTAAATTGGGCAACACGCAATATTGTTTATTTAAAATTCCAAAAAAGGGTGCAGGTTTGACGCTTGTCTGTATACCTAATGTCAAAAATTAAAGACGAACAAAATAATTTATAGCCTCATTGTGAGACAGAAAATGTCGTACACCTGGGTAACAAAGACCCTGGATACCTAAATACTCAAAGCCGCTGCCCGGGCCTAAAGCACGTCATGAAAAAGTCATGCTGGATCATTTCAATAAACTGAATTCGCGGCATATAATTTCATTATTTTTTAATGTTGCTATTTTACGGTAAATCTACGTCAGTGTGCACATGTCTGTCAATTCTCTAATTTGCTAAAATTTATCAACTGCAGTGTGGTTAAGCAATTATGTTCCAGTTCCTGGCTGGTACTAGCTTTTACGATACTAACTCTTACCTACTGTTTCTGTAGTTACAAGATACTGTCTGTATTACTTTCACACTTTTCTGTCCGAATTTTCGCACACGTATACATTATTGATTATGCTCCCACGATTTATAAGTACTGCTCATAGATTAAGGCACTTCGAATCTTTCATTGTGTAGCTGTCAAACTTTTTAGAAATAATCGTTGACGACATTAACGAGTTTGCTATGTCTTAGTAACAGAAGTACGTCATCGGATTGGGACAATGTTAGCTGCTACAGGAAAGGTTTCATAATATAGTTAACAATCAAATGACGCGAGTACAGTAATAAAATCATTTTGCACTTGACAAGGCGTTAACAATATAAGATGATTTTGATGAATTAAAGACTTCTCAATCGTCATCAAAATGGAGTACATTTGTTTCACGTGTAAGGTAATCAAAAATATTTTTCGGCATCTTTACTACACTAAACACCTCAATTTATTAAAAAAACATTACACAAAGCGAAATAGTGATTTAATTGTAAATAACTATTAAGCGTTTTACTGTAGGTCTGTTCTCAGTAGCTGAGAAAAATCAAAACAGTTTTTTTGTTGTCTCGGAGCTTAACTGTTTGGCGGTAAACCCATCGACCCTTTCACTTCTAGTAGGGCTGATTAATTCATTTTTCCCAACCATTTCAATAACTTGTCCAACAAACAAGTAATAGAATTATCATCTATGAGGGATTATTTTGATAAAACATCGAGGAAATGCCGTTATTAAGCAGGTACCAGAGGATCAGCAATTGGGTATCAAGTCGAGGGATTTATGTCCTTAGCTTTGCATTGAGGAAAGAAATGAATATGTGATTTCTCTTGCACTTTCCAGACTCAAATGAGCTATTTAACCCTCCTGATGACGAGAGAGATGTTGTCAGTGGAAAGAGAGACTGTTTAGAGATTGGGCATGGGTCAAATGGCATTATGTAAACAGATTTGACGATGGAAATCTGATTCCGTCGGTTCATTTTGCAATGCCAACAATGCTAACATCCTAACCTCGTCACATTATTCAGCAGTACCTTTAACAACAAGAGGAGAATTGCGGACAACAACTGCAGCAAGTCAAACGCCAACACCAAGAACATCAGCTACAAAACCAAGATCAAGATTAACGCCACTTGAAACATCAGCAACAGCAGCACCAGCAACAACAAAAAGATCCTCATCAACAACAACAAAAGTGGAACAAATACACCCATCATCGACAATTTCAACAGTATCAACAGAACAGTCACAGTCAAACGCAACATCGAGGATAACCCCAGCAAGACCATCAACAAGCGCCACAGCTTCATCGTCAGCGATACCATCCGCAAAGCTTCCACCGGTGCATTTCCCAAACTTTCTTTCTTTTAACAATGGAAACTATAATGTATCCTGGATTTACAACAGTGAGACAGACAGATTACACTTTATGATCGATGTCATGGCAACCGGTTGGGTTGGGTTTGGTGTTGCCCGTCGTGCACCGACGGGCATGCAGGGATATGATGTGGCGGTTGGTGGAGTTTTAAATGGATTGGCTTATTTGCAGGTAAAACGAAATTCTTAAATTTGAACTCAAGTCCTTCCTCTGCTGAGCAAGCTTTTTTTTGTTTTTATAATTCCCAAGCCGAGCAAAAAAGTATAGTTTTTTTATTAAGCTCAGAAGCGAGATATATTTCAACAGAAAGCTATGAAACGACGAAAAATATCGACTGAAATTTCTGATTTCATTATACAATGAACGGCTGAAAAGACAAGGAGAAATGGGTGATGGAATACAACAGAAAATTATATTTAGTGATGATATTTCCAAGAAAATCAAAAATTTAATATTGAGATCATCTGAAAAAACTGCACGATAATCACGATTTTAACACTTTAACTCCCAAGATTTCTTTAATAATTCTCCTTACTGTCTGCCATACAATTCTCATGATGTCAATTTGGAGAATTTGGTATCGGATCAACCAATAATCTTTAACTGATATTTTACTTTATTCTCATCACTTCTATGCCTGATGTTGTGTGTTGATTATTGTGAGGAGAAATTCTCTCTTAGTCACTCATGGGAGGAAAAAGGTTAACCTCTACACAATAACATCACTGCGGATGTTCTCCATGATTTTCTCTACGCATTTCCTAAGGTACTGACATAGAGAACTTGTTGAACAAAAAAGGAACTTCTTTCGTTTGATTTAGGATTGATATTGTAAGGAGAAATTAGATGCTAGTCACTCGCAGGGGTTTATGGGTAAACGACTCTTTCATCCCATATACTGATATTACCAAAATAATACCTATTTGTCTAACTTATGTACAAGTAAATATAATCGTGTTTTACTTTGGTTGAAAAAGGATTATCTCACAGTTGGCCTAGCACAACCTCAAGTTGACGGTCAGCAAGACTGGGTATTAACTTACGCCAAAGAAGAAAATGGAAAAACAACATTGCAGTTGTATCGCAGGAGAGACACTAGAGATCCAATAGGTGACGTCCGCATACAGGTAAAATAATGAGCTTGTCACTTGTATATATTAAACAATCATTAGATTCACTTTTTGTGATGTCCAGAATAATCAAGGTCGAGGTAGGGGTTATCAGCTCAGCCTTCGGCTTCAGCCGATAACCCCTAGTGAGAATATAAAAATTGTTTTATCATGTATTGAACGAAAACAAATGGCCACGACAGTAAATGGAACTGAAAATTTATTTGTAAACGTGTAAAAATATATGCGAATCAGCAAGCAACACAAAGCGCGCGAACTTGACATGATTACCCTTAGAAATCATGCACCCCGGTCACACATGACATGATTACCCTTGACCTTGAGTGTCTGCAGTTAGATGACGTCCTTGGCGCTGAACTCGAAAATTCACTGTATGCTTTTGACTAATCAGAAAAGAGATAGTGATTTGAATCTATAGTAACTAGAGTAAACAAGCGTTCTGTGCGTAGATGTGTATGAATTTATACAGTGTCAAGTGTGGATGTACCTGTGTATTGTAATTAGCTAATTAAGGTTTAGGGAATCTCAACTCGTGAAAGAGCTTTTCCCTTTGGACTCGGAAATCATACGCATTACTTTAATCTTACTAGGATTTCGCCCAAAAGAAAAATTTACCGAAAAAAATGGAGCTATAGTTTTTTTTAAAAAAATGTTTAAGACCAGAAGTCCTGCCATGAGAAAAATACGTCATCACCTGACATCACAATACTTAACAATTGGTTCAAGGCTCGGATACGCCTCGAGCAACTCTTACGCATCTTTCGTGCTCTCCAAACTTCCCGCGTGCCTCATATCTCGATGAACGCACAGCTGACGTATGAACTAATTGTTTTATAACATTTTCAACCCGATGGAAAATTTTTTTCTCGAGGGATTTGTTTGATGACGTTCTGAGCGTTCACAATGGGAATATGAAGCACGCTCACGCAATTGAATTTGATTAGACAAAGTTACTAGCTATGTTATAAAGCAGATCGAATGATGGAAAATGCATCTAGTTTCGCTTTAATGTAATAATTTGATCCTCTGCAGCAAGGAGCACCGATTTTCCTTATATGGGCATACCATATGACGAATGACGCCCAGTCAGGCCTATTGACGTTCCACGGTGGCAGATCCAGAGGTTTCAGAAACGTTCTTCTAATACCTGTCATTACACCCACAGTGACAAGTCCATCTGGTAAGTAACTGCCACCGTTGTATGAGCTGAGAGAGCTGTATGATAGCGATATGAAAGAACGGAATGGTACAACAAGGTTACCATGCCCACTGATAATCAGCTTTCAACGTCGCTAGAGATGATCGCACTTAATATCACAGCCTAAAAGTGTGCTTTTCTTTATCTTGAGGTTTTCCATCCGCGACACTCCAGCCATCACCATCTCCAGCTTTTGGTGGCATGAATGCGACATCGTCTACAAAGCCACCCTTTACAGGTACGCAAACGTTCTCGAACTGGCTAAAATTATGGTACCTATTTACTTTTCTGATATAATTTAGTCCAATACATGAAACGCACTCAAGGATCAATCTCAGCCGCGCTGAAGCGCCAGGAGGCGAGTTCGTTCACTTAAACCAGCACTACTCCGCAATCCTTCCCTTCCTAATGTTGCATAAATCGAACAACTCTAGAAGCTGTTAAAATGAGCCCAATGCTGACACAAAAAAAATTCTCAGCTTTACCCATTAAGTAGCTACGCATTTGGCTATCCTTGCAGATTGATGAAGGGAATTTCGTGTTATATCGAGATATTTAAAATTTTCCCTTTCTTATCATTTGTTGGCTAACAGCTTACCGATCTTTAAAGATAAAGCTACTGGTTAACCACTTTGGGCTCCTTCTTGCTGTAAAGGACGCAAGAAAGTGAAATAGAACACCGCCCCACTAATTGTTTTCATTGTTTACCTCGTTCAAAGGCTGATATGTTCGACGTTCCTTTCATGATTTTTTTTCTGGCAGGATGTGGAGGAATATTAAACATGACAAGTGGAACATTTGCATCGCCTGGATATCCATTCTCCTACACTAACAATTTGAACTGCCTATGGACTCTTCCTATCCCTACCGACGGCGTTTTGAGTCTGCAGTTTGAAAGATTTACCACAGAGCGGTGGTACGTACATGAAGGAAACATGAGTATAATTGTACCAGAAGAGCAACTTAAAGTTTGTTAAAAGTAAGGTCGGATTGCTTTGGTCTTGCTATGATACGCTCAAGAAATCTTGCACGAACCTCTTAACCAACTAGACACCCAGCTATAATGAGTTTCGACTTGATCATTTGCATCCTTGGAAAGTGTATTTGTCAGGAAAAAAACTCACTCGTTTTAGCCCCACCACAGAGAAGTTACTGAAGATACTTGAAAATGAGTTCTTGTTGGTCATGGGTAGAATTTCCAAAAAATCTTTTAGTACTTCCTTGACAAGTTTCATTGTCATTCCACAGACGTTAAAAGTTTTTGGCTCCATTTGCAATGGCACTTGTCTATCTAAGGCATTGCAAGATAAATACGGAAAAAAAATTTAAAATTAAACTCTGTTGTTGTAAATGCGGTCGAATGGTTTCCTTTTCTTTCTTTTCTACGGAAGCTGTGATTTTGTTGAGCTGACAGTCCGCACCGGGCAGTTAGCAAGATTGAGTGGTTCTAGGAACGGATTCAACATCACAGTAAGAGGCGACAGAAGTCGGGTACTTAATATCAGATTTACAACTGATGGATCGATCACAGGACTTGGTTTCTTGGCTCGCTACGTCATAATATTCGGTGAGCAAACCATAAATTCTTGGAGCAATTACACCATGACTATATATATATAAAGCCTTTTGTTCGTGTACGTGTTGATCCCCTAATAGTTCACTCGTATCAAGAAAAGCGGATCACCTGAAATTTAGTATTTCATCTCGAACATTGTCTGTCCTTTTGGGATTACACATTTGCAGGATTAGGTAAAACGCAAGCAGTATAAAACAATGACAGTGAATAATAATTTGAAAAGATTGGCAGAAAAAAACTAAGCAATTTTAGAGACAACTGATTGCTTTACGATAGATCACGCTGACTAGCGATTCTTATCGCCTTCAGTTGCGCAAACCGTCTGATTTCTAGTTTGCAAAACTGATCCTGCATCTATGGTAACTTGAGGTTCCAAGTTGGTCTTTTGTTATTTGTCTTAAATGTGTGGGTAACTTCTGCTAGGCCAACTCCTGTGGATGTCCATTCTAGTAACATAATATTTTTTAGATGTAGAACAGAGAACATAAAATTACGTTTTTGATGTAAAACATGCCCATGCAAGTGTCAAGGTTTAGATTGAAGAACTTTTAAACCACCTCCAAAGCTTAGAAAATTAGGTAAATTCTCGAACGATAACAATGACAGTTAAAATTTCGTTTTTCAGTGGCACAGCCTACATCTTTTACTCCTTTTAACAACGTAACCTCGCCAAACACAGTACAACCACCTTCAAATACCACACTTGTGATCTTACCAACGGAAGTTCGAAGGTAAGTTTCCAAATTTCACTACTTCATGTCAAACAACTTGGCTTTTAGTTCGAGTCGGCCTTAAAAAATCGTATTTAAAATAAAGAACTATGCTGCACCTGTTTTAGAAAAGTTTCGGTTGACATTAATGCTTGTTTTATACATAGGAAAACACCTATTTAGATTTATCATATAAACAGATATCTTAAGGCTGATACGTTTATTTCGGACCATCATCATGTCAGACCTGGCAAATCAGTAGATCCTTTGAGTGACATTTTACATTAAAGTTTTACACATGATCATATTCTTGTTAACAGAGCTCTTATTGATTTACTCGTATCTCTTGGTCGAATTATCGTGAGGGTAAGTAAATGTCTCTTTTCTCATACGAATTTATTTTCGCGCACTGGTACCCCAATCAACTCCCACGATTGTAAATCGAAAAGTACGATCACCCGCAAGCTAACGCTTGCCGACCAATTTCTCACGCCTTACAGATGAAAACTTGTTTAAAAAAGCTTTCGATCCATGATACCCTCAGTAAACAGCATTCTCTAACCATAAAAGAGAGGTATGGGCAAAAGGTCTTAATTTTTTCCACAGCGCATGCGAATAGAGCATCTTTGAGGAGGTTGTGTCAGAACTCTACGCATCGCCTTCAGAACTCTTCAGAATTCTTCGTTTATTCCCGACGCTTCTGCAAAATATACCATGTTGCACCTCCAAGAAAATAAACCCGTGGCTTTGACCCGAAAAAAATCCCAGCGGTTTCACATGGAAACTAATTGATCTCTTCAAACTTTGGGACCAGTTTGAGCCTTGTAAAACTCCTGAGAGAAAAAGTTCATAATGATTATTACTTTGTTCTTCATCAGCTCCAAGGACTTATCCAAGGAGAACTAACTAACGACGCTTTCGAAAATTTCCGAAGTAAGTGAAATAATTTGAATCAAAATCCAAAAACCAAGCTCTACGGTAGAAAATGATTCATCTTTATTGGACATAAGTCCAAGCCGTTGTTTTTCAAAACCTCCCCCCACCCAAGTCCTCAAAGTGATGTGTTTACTCGAATTAGACTAACATTCCATTTGGCAAAAATAACGAACACTGCATCATAGAAGAATATTAGAGCAGTTCACTCTAACATTTGAAAATGTATAACATAGTTCCGAGTTCTAGAGTTAAGGAAAAATGGTAGCAGAAAACATTTAAAAAAAGAGAAAGATCAAAAAAAAAATCGATTTTGATGAAACGGAACAGTTAGTGGATGGCCAGGTTCTCGGTTAATGGAGAAAAACAAAAATATGGCCAGTGAGATAACCTGCAGGTTTTTTCTCTTCTTTTGCTGACTGCTTAGGAAAAGCTAATCAGTGTGTAGCAAAGAGGTGCATCTGAATAAAAGGATCTTCTCGAATTTGAAATCCAGCGCCCTTAACTGTATTAAATGCCACTTTTGTTTTGACAGATAACACCCTGCTGATTTTACAGCAAGCTGAGAGGCAGTTGGCGAGGCCTAATGGCAGGTATCTCGGAAAAAGGGCGATACACGAGCTACCTGACCCAGAAGAACTGGCTCAAATGATGGACGAGATTCAACGACGACTGTTAGACTAAGATCGTTTCATCTAATCTAAAGAAGCCTGATTGAGGACCTTACCTTTTAATGTAGTGACGAAATTTTCAACACCGAGATAAAACTGAGCCAAGGAATTGACTTTCCTTAACCTTTGTTATTTCCTTTAAGAGTATCATTAGTAATGATATAGCCATATTCCTTAACCCTTTACACCATAACATCAGTATTTACATTCTTCATACTGTTCTCTGTACATTTACTAAGGTGCTGACACGGAGAATTTGTCTAGCAGCCAAGTGTGTCTTGAGTTGGTGATCATCTCTTTTATTCTTGTGACTTTAATGAGTGATTCAGTGATGATATTGTAAGGAGAAATAAGACGCTAATGACTCTTAGGGGTTATTGAGTTTTTTCTCCTATTGGGCGAAATAAGTCAATCAGACAAACTTTATTTATAGAGGGTAACACCTAATAGTGAACCGACTAATAAACATGTGGCCCTCTTAATTAACCCTTTACACCCTAAGATCAGTATGCATATTCTCCATACTGTTCTCGATACATTTCTTTAGGTGCCGACAATGAGAATTTATGAGACAATCAAGAGCTCCTTTAATTGCTGAACATTTCTTTTATTCTCGTGACTTTAATGAGTGATTCAGGACTGATATTGTAAGAAATTAGATGCTGGTGATTCTTAAGGGTTTAAGGGTTAACAAATAGGTAAAAAGCCCCACAGTAGATATTGCATAGCAAACAAGCTCACAACGCACTGTAATCAAATATAATAAAACTTATCAAACGTATGTTAACATGTAAAATTAGATGCTAAAATTGTTGATAGTATTAAAAAATGGAACAAGCTGTGATAAATGCTCAAAAATGAAATATTTAGGAGTAGCGATTACATTATTCCTCGATGTTGTTGACTAGATATTATTGTTACCAAAATTTTTGTTTTTATTTTTTCTTTCTTTTTTTTTTTTTTTTTTACTCTGCGTATGACTTTCGCGATCGATATTTTAGAAACTGAAAAAGCCTTCTAATCTTTTTGCGGTTCACATAAAAAAGACATGCTTTACTGTGAAGATTGTATAGCTTATATAGCTTATGAAAACAAAATGTAGGTTGCAGTCTGAAATGTGTAAGTTCATACATCTTCGTGCAATGACATATTCTCTGCGGAGATATAATTTCGTTCTTAATGAATAAAGATTGCAACCTTGTCAATTCTGTTCCCTAAATGACATCAATAACGAGCTTAATGGTATGATCTTTTACAAGGAAATCTCTGCAACGGATTCTTCTTCAACAGGTTGAATGACATAAAGTTTAATTTGCGAAAATGTTTAGAAGCATTTCTCGGAATGAGTTCATCTGAAACGCAGTTTTCACAGTTTGCTGGACACGACTTCATCCTGGGTATTTCCGCTACCTGCTGCTCCACTAAGAGTATTTTCTGCCATTGGTGAATAATACTCCCCAAGGGGAGAGGTCTGTGGACTTTCCTGCTCGCTTAAGCCGCCCTTGTTCGCCATGGTTTGGTAATAGTCTGACGAAGTTGGGCCACTTGTTTCAGCAGCTGATCCATCAGATCTTCTCGTCACAGGCAAAGTATTCGATGCATCCATTGGAATGTAATCCTGTGGCGTAGAGTTATTTAAGGCATTGCTGCGCATTTCGTTATCCATCGGGACGTAATCGTGTGGCGTAGAATGATTTAAAACATTATTGGACCCGCCATTTTCCATTGGTACATAATAATCTTTCCCACGTCCCTTCGTTTGTGCATTTGACGCAATACTTCCAGGTGGCACTTGCGTGTCATTTACAAGCTCGAGATATTCAGGAAGAGGCCGCCCAGGATTATCATACTCATGGCAATTTTTCATGGTTCTAAAATCCAACTTCTCATATAACCCACTATCATTGAGGTCCTGCTCAGCGTCTATTGGTTCATAACTTGGTATTGCCGCAGTTGTTGGGTCAAGGGCTTGATACTGGGGGAGGGGAGGGAGAGTAGCACGTCTTCTTGCTCCTTTTCCTCCCGCAACTTCTGTCGGATTCGTCCGAGGTACGGATGAGTTATTTTGACGTACATCCAGGTATTGTGGAGTTTCGTCCGTAGCATCTGATCTCTCTTAAAGATGACAAAAAAATTATGTGTCATACCAGATAGCAATTGTTGAGCATACTTAGTCAAATGTTATACAGTAAATCAAATATTTCTTCGTCTCCCTTAAATATAAAGGCCTTGCCACAGATGTCTTTGAAAAAGAAACTTCATCAACCCAAAACGTTTTGAAATTTGGCATGAATCAGCCTTACAGAAATTTAACTTTAACATAAAAATGTTTTACTTGAAGAACAACCCACCTTCATTTCCTCTCGCTTTTCTTCGTTTATAAAAAAATATGATAATAATAATTGCCACAATTAAAAGTACTCCTAGGACAGCAGTTAAAATGATCCACAATGCATTATCTGAGAAGAATCCGCGTCTGGAACTTGGGGCAAGGCTGGTTGGCGGGTCTGATGAAATTAAAAAAAAAAAGAAATCAATTTTCATCATAAGTCTTGTGTTTCTGTTACTCTTATTTCATTCTCTAGCAGCTTCCTGTGTGCTTTACAACAGAAAAGATCACACTCGAGGCTCTTTTATTTGTTGAATAACGCAATAGAAAATTTGATGAAGCGCGTCTATCAACGTGTGTTTCAAGACTACAACACGGAGGAAACTAGGAGAAGAGTGTTATACTTACCCTCAACTTCAACCCAAACAGACGACACATTCATTCCTTGATCATTCTCTGCAACACACTGAAACACAGCGTTGTGCCAGCTCTCCACGTGAATCAGATGTAATTTGTTCTTCTCTATTTTCACCCGAGAGCTGCTCAGATATGAGAACAAAAATAAAACTGGTTTAAACACATCAAATGCAGTCAATCATCAAGGAAAAATTTTGAAGTCATTTCCCTTACTCTGAAGCGTTAATTTCTTGTCCATTTCTGAACCATCGATAGCTAGGACTTGGGACACCATCTGCGATCAACATCACGGATAAGTTTTTTGATCTCTGTACTTGGATTTTCCGATGAAATCTGACTTTCCATTCGGGAGAGGCTGCAATTGGAATTAAGAAAATAAGTAAAGAAATGAAAGAAAATACTTAATTTATTTAAGTAATTTATTCTAAACTACGATGAGAACAGTTGTTACCACTACTTCTCATTAACGGGAAGAAGGAGTGGACTTACAAAAATTTGCCTATTCAGAGGTGATTCTGACCTGTTCTAGACTTTCAAATAGGTAAACGAAGCGAAATAGTAAACAGCGCGATAGTAGCGGCAGAGTGAGGTTTGGGTCGGGTCACGTAACTTCCATCGTAGTTACTCCGTAAATCCTATAGCAGGATTGATAAGTTTTTTGTGAATGACCCCAAAATCAACAGTCGCTGGGTAAAAATTGAACGCAAAGAAAACTTGTTATAAACTGATCATTTAAGTTAGCCCGACGTTTGCCGTACGTGTTATTCCTGTGTAGCTTGACGTTTACCAGGCAGAGGTTTTAATTATACTATTCATCAAAATCTTGGAGACGTGCCTGATATTTAAACTTGTGATTGGGCTCGTTTTCTGAGAATTGTTTAGTTCATGGGTTTTATTGACTCAGATAATATATCTGAAAATGGAACAGGTTTGCCTCTCATTAATAGCAACAAAAGACTTCAAAACAAACCTTTCACTGTGAGGTAGGTGGAGGCCGACACACGCTCCATCTCAGACGCGGAAATCGCTGTACATGTATAATTCCCCTGATGTTCCTTAGAAACTTCGTCGATGAACAAAAGCCTGTTGAAATGTTCTCTCGGAAGATGATACTCATTGTCGTCGTCGTAAATCTTTTTGCCATCTTTCCACCATATGATTTTGGGTGGTGGCCTTGAGATAGAAGAAAAGCAAGTGGTAACGCTACCCGAGAATATAACGATATGCGCCGCGCAATCTCCCTGTATCAGCTGATTCCGAAGCGACGCTCGTTCGTCACTTTGCGCGGCAAATGATCGACGCCCGGTAGAATAGATGATGAATTTGATTTGCTATAACAAAATAGTTGTTGATTATTCATTGTCTTCAATATTGTGCACACGTTACGCCTTCTCCTCCATGCTTACCAAATGTCTGCAAATACAATTTCAATCTAATGACGCAGCAATTCTGCATCTATCTCATAATGTTTTTAGCGCACAATTTAGCAAGAACAGACGAATACAAAATACAAGCAATTTCTGTTGTCTAATGCTGATGTTAGTGCTGGTAAAAACGACAAGACAACTCGAAATAGCAAACTCATAGTCCAACCATAGTCGAAGAGGAGCTACGGAGACCTCAGCATCCGCATGCTTTGTCATTGTTAAGAAACGATCTTTGGTTTACTTCCTAAGGAAGACTTTTTATAATCCTTTTTTTATATAATTTTGTCAAGTTTATGTACGGGCAGATGTTTAGAAGAGTTGGTTACTAAAATAATTTAAAATTGGATGATATGTACTTTACATTTTCATTATTATGTTTGAGTGGTTGACTTAGATTCGAGTTATCTCGCTTTCTTCAGAAATCTCTCCATGATAAGACACTTCACGACGAGAACAGAGAGTCTGAAAAAAATGTTTCAATCCTGACGGTATAGAAACAAAAGTGTTTAACTTGAATATTGGTCGATGAAATAGATTTTTTCCTTCTTTGGAGTGTGGAATAAACATTCATGCAGACGATAAAGTTAATAACTGGTAAAATACATTAATTATTACTTATACAAAAATCAATCTGGTGACATGTTCTTACTTTGCTACAGCCAAACAATAAAGTTTCTTCGGATATCCTTCTCTGGCCTCTTCAAGGGGCTTCGGTGCAAAATAAATAACTGGTGGAATCTTTTCGCTTGATTCTAGGAACAACAACAAAAATAACAACAAAAAAACAATACAAAAGAAAATTCAAGAAACAGAGGGTCAACCATCGACATGCTTCTTTGACCCTTTTGGGCGTAGCTCTGGTTTATTGGCTTTCAAAGAAATACTGAAGGGGACAGTTGAGCTGATTATTCTTAATCAAAGAGAATATCAATGGCAATTGAAATATTAAAAAGTAAGGGGCAGGTACATGGAATTGACGCAGTTGCTAAGGTTCTATAGCAACTCTGTAAACTCTCAACCACGTAAGAACTGACGAACCTTACTAGTGAATACAAAAATTTCTTGAACGAATGCTTCTCAAAGGTAAAAAGGAACAAGATCGCTCAGTTTGCAAGAAACACCCTCAAGAACGGCAATTTAATATGTTTTTTTCTTTACTTTTTTTGTTTTCAATACAGGTGAAACCAGCTGGGTGTACGTGTAGCTAAGGAAGGTGTCTGTAGTGAATTCCACGTTACCCTTTGTAGATAAGAAGTGATGTTATAATTATGATAAAATGGTGTGGCACACTTAGTGCCGGTAAGCTGGTGTAACCCCTTCCCCCCCCCCCATCTCTCTCTCTCCTCTCTCTCTACTCCCCCCCATCCCTCTCTCTCTCTCCTCCCCCCCCCTCTCTCTCTCTCTCTCCTCCCCTCCCCCGATGAAAAATTCACCCGATTCTTTCATTTAAATTAAGAGTGAAATTTAAACCTTCAACCTCAAAGAGTGATTGGCTTTTAATTTCTCCTTACGCAGCACCATTGAATAAAACAATTGGTTAACACTTTCTCCTTGTCAATACCATAAGAAATGTACAGAGAACAGTATGGAGAAAAAAGAGTTAAACACATAAAGTTCATACCTTTTCCAGTAAGTTGAAATTTCACCACATGTGAGTATCTTTCTTCGTCACTCGTGGACATCTCGCAAGCTACTCCATTCATGCCATTCACTTTCTTAACGTCTGCTTTCGTCACAAACATAATCACAAGTGTGCCATCCATCGTCACCGCTGTACGGTTGTCCTCAGGAAGAGGATAGAACGCGCTGGGGTCGGAAGAGTCATAAAAAACCCAGCGGTAGCTTACACCAAAACTAGGGTCGTGGTTTGGACAAGGAATTTCAATAGTTTTTCCAAGGGTGACAGGGGCGTTCTTGTCGTTAGCGTAGTGAAATGGGCCGGCGACTGGAAGAATAAACGTACATGTACATGGAGAAAATTTGATCAGAATGATTCAGAATTAACTACAATGCCATCATTACTGCAGATAAC